TGTCCTGAGTCAGGTCACAAATAATCTGGGACAGGCCCATGGCTGCTATGGTGGCCATGAACTCCCAAGAAGCCTCTGAGGCACGCCCCAGGGATGGCAGGTTGAAGTCCCCCAAGACCATAAGTCTGGGGAACTCTACCACCAGCCCCTCATTGACCTCCAGCAGCTCAGGCAGGGAGGTTGCTATGCACCAGGGAGGCTGGTACAGCAACAACAATCCCAGCTGTTCTCACGAACCCAACTTCAGGAACAGGGTTTCACAACCGGCCATTTGTGGAGCAGCACCCCTGAAGGCCAACAGAGATTCCTGGATGACAACTGCTACCCCTCCTCCCCTGTCCTGGGATCTCAGCTGCTGCCAGACTGTGAACCCAGCTGGGCACATTTCCAAAAGGGGCGCCTCTCTTCAGGGCCCAGCCAGGTCTTGGTGATACACACCAGGTCAGCCCGTTCCTCAGTGATCAAATCACATATAAGGGGGGCCTTGTTGTTAACTGACCTGGTGTTGAGAAGCAGCAGCTGAAAACGAGGGTCTCTGCAGGTCTGCTGCCTGGGGCCTGGGTCTGAGTCCAGAGGGCCAGAACATCCCACCAGTAACAAACACTGGAAGCACCTTCCCCGAGAGTGGCCCACCTCTGACTCCCATCATAACATCCCCTCCCCATCACCACCTGAATGATATAACCTGCCCTAAAACCCCCAGGAACTCCAGTTCCCCCAAATCTCAACCCCCTGGCTTTCCTAGTTAGGGGACCCTCCATCCAATCATACAACAGGCACCCAATCAATCAATCAAAGGTGTGTGTGATGAACTTCCAGGCACTTCAGCTCTCATTCTCAGTGCCATAGGGGCCGTATCCCTTCCCCCTTCATCCATTGTGCCCCCTCTACCGGCTTCTCTCACTAGTCAAAAGGGGGCACCCCTCTCCACTCTCCCCAATTCTCACTCATCTTTCCTTCTGTTTCATACATATCCAAATTACATTTTATTTTGGCGGGGCAGTATTTTTGGTATTCACTGCAAGCCTCAGATCATTCTGAGCCTTAGCCTTCTTGACCCCCTTTTTACAGATTTGGGCTATTCTCTGATATTCTGCTTTTGTTATATTGCCCTTCTTTCTATCGTCTGTCCTCCCCCCTTGCATGTGCCAATGCAATACAAGTTCTGCCACTTCCCCTAGCTTCCCCTCCCCGTTCTGCAGACACTGGTAGTTAGCTAAATTTACTCAATTTCTGGATTTTGATACGTAATTCAGAAACAAAGAGGTCCTTTCACCATGTAATGTTTCAGAAATATACTGCTTCACAAATTGATTTCAGTGGGACATCAAACAAACAAATAAGAAAGAAAATGTTCAAAGGGCAGGGCCCCTTTCTAAATCCCTCTTTCCCAGGCTCTGATTGCAACAGTCCAACAAGCCACAGCACAGGACTGTGCAAGCCTTCCTCTGTGGTGAAACAGGTTGTTTGTTTAAAGAAGTATGGAAGATTGATATTCTTTTTCCAAAGATGTTGACCATCTTCTAGTCATCTGTTCTTGCAGTAAGTCTGTTCTGGGTCTAGCGATACGTCTGCTACTACTTCCCATACTTATTGTTTTCATGTTGGATCTTAGGAATAGTTTGCTCACATGTTTCCACAGCTTTCTCCAGTCTCTTAGTAATACTTTGCCTTTGTAGTTTGACCAAGGTCTACCCTTGCTCTGCCTTTTCCTTTCTTGATTCTGCCCGGCTAGCCTTGTACTGCCCAATAAATACCGGAGAGTCCCTATTGCTATGATCTTGCCACCAAAATGCTGTTGAGAGAAGGGAGGGTTGTCTGATTGCCAGGATCACTCTGAGGGGATGACAGACTGAATCTAATCCTCCTCCTTTCCCTCACACACTGAAAGTGTTTTGTTTTGGGATCTAAAGTTTTTGAGACATGATTGTTGCAATTCTTCCATTTGCAGCTTGCTGGAGTTTAGAGTTTTGAATGGGAACAGGGAAGGTGATCAGGTGAAATGCTCTGCCTTGCAAACCTGTTATGAATGACTTTGATCTGTCTTGGGCTTTTATCCAAGTTCAGACCACAACCCTAATTAAAATAAAATTATTAAACAGCAGGCAAATGATCCATGTTAACTTTTCCATTGTTACTGCTATGCCACATTTTTAAATATTTTTGAGATAAACATTTATCTCAATGATACAATTTTATTAAAGCAGACATAAAGTAATTAAACATAGCTTAAGATAAGAATAATTTTTATTTACTCACTTCTTCAAACTTTACTGCAATCATAGAAAAAGCTTTGAAAATTGCATCTGTTGGGCCTGTTATAGTCACAATTCTTTCTGGACAAGAGCCTTCAGAGATGTTGATTCGAGCTCCACTCTGTGAAAACAAAATGCTGCTTTGTTTGGCAAAGAACTCACATAATTATTAGAGTTCATTTGATAATTAAAGGCTAGAGTGTAATTTGGATTCATAGCACTTATACATGGGTCTATAATACTGAAAACACTTAAGACAGGTTCAGGTAGGCAAGTGACTGATAGTTATACATACAGCTTTTTAAAATGTATTTCTTTTTATTTAAAATATTTATGACGTCAATTTTTAAAATATTTTAAATCCAGTAAATACATATAAATATGAATTTATTTATTTATTTATTTATTTATTTATTTATTTATGTATTATGGACTGGAATCCTATAATAATATAACAGATATAGTAACAATAGCTTCTCATATGCCAAGATTAGTAAAAGTATTTTCAGCATGAGTCTGAAGTATAACATCCATATATGATTTATTTAGTGTGCACCGGGGAGGGCATGCCAAAGAATGGGGACCATAACAGGAAAAAATTTTTCCTGGCTGTTGAAAGAATGGGTGTGGAAGAATAAGATATGATGTGATCAGCTGTCCTCTGATAATGTTTGCAGCAGTTAATCTATATGAGAAAAGCTACTTATACTGGGCCACATGTTTCCAGGTCAGATTTAAGGTTTCAGTATTATCTTAAAAAACCTTACCTTCAAGATGTTTTTATAACCCTTGCCGCTCAAACCTTACATCTGCAATGCTTGAAACAGCTTTACTATATGACCGTAGGTATGCGTACCTTTTAAAGCTGATAATGAATACAAAGCAAGGTGCTAGCACCTAATTTATCATCATGGTTATATAACAGCCAGACAACTTAATATCTTAAACATCTTACTCACCTGGAGTACCACAGAGTTTTTACTCTTGTGCATTTTAATATCCTTCCTTCAGCAATTCATCAGGATAGATTTAAGAACATACTACCTGGTGACAGACTTTGCTCATGTACAGAAGGAGCATTAGAAATTGGCCTATTATGTACTTTTGTACTGCCTCTTTTACAGGGACATTCACAGCTCCATGATAGCCCCTATACTATGAAAGATCCCAGGGGCTCTTTATGGTTTTTTATGACTTATGACCTCATGCCAAGTATCAATACAAAAGAGTGTTAATGTCAGTGCTCAGAAACCAATGATTGTGAGTCAAAGACAAGCCATTCAATAATATGGTTTTCCAAGTTTACGCTCCGGCCACAGATGGGAAGAAAACAGAAGCTGAACTATCCTATGTTGACTTGCAATATCTTGTTGACCCAACACCAAAAAACACTCCCCTTCCAAAGTTGCATAGAAGGGTGTAATGCTAAAGTTGAAAATAAAATAGCATCTGGAATAATGGGAAAATGTGGCTCCAGTGGAATGAAGGAGACAGAGTTCTGCAAAGAAAATTCAAGATTTATAGCAAATACTTGTCAAGCTCCACACAGCTGGGCAAGATGCAAGAACTACAGAAATATCAGTAAAATAATGTAGTAAATACAGAATCTTGGAAAATGTAAGAGGAATTTTCCCAAATATAGCAGGGTCTCTTTGAATGATTGTATGGTAAGGCTGGCCTCTTATGAAGGAAAATATAAGGCTCTGGGCAGATCACAAGATATGCTGGTATGCTCCTAACTTAGAAGCAACTCTTCTATAAGGGAGTTCCAAGTTGCATAAAACACCATTAACAAGACTGTATAAAGAAAATAAAAACCAGAGACAAAATAGTAGACATCACTTAAAATAACAGAAATTAAACTCAACACAGTAAGTTCTAGCCAGACTTGTTACCAATTTCTTAGCATGACCTGATGCCTGAAGCTAACATAATTTGCTTGCTTTCTTGGGCTTTTTCCAGCTTCTTATAAATTTTCCTTTTATCACACGCTAAAGAGATTCATTTCCTTTTCCCTACCTCAGTATAGCAAATCAAATCAAATATCTTTATTATGGGCTTTGACCAATAACTATGGTAAAATCT